CTCTTTCAGAGCAGCGAGGCGCGACATGTACATCCATGAGCCACCCTGGCGATTCCGCAGGTAGTCGCGGTTCGCCTTGACGGTACGGAAAGAAATGCGACCCAGACGGTGGATTTTGAGCACCAGTTGCCTGCCCGTCTCATCTGCGCAGACTATGATATCCGACTCCTTGCCTATGCCGATCTGGTTGCCCACCGAGTAGACAGTCGAGGCCTTTTGGTGTGTGTGGAGGGCGAGGTAGTCGAGGCCGCCATACGTGAGTCGGTAGCCGTCGTACTTTGCGTTGCGGACTTTGGCGATGAGGCCGATCTTGGCGAGGTTGGAGATGCAACGGTGGACGCCGTCGCCGGAGCGGATGGCAGCGATCTGAGCAATCAGGGGGGTTGGCACAATTTCATGGTTGCGGCTGCCCATCTCTGTCTATCGTCTTCATCAGCGTTAGTCCCCCACTACGTTCGGAAAGCCTGCGGGCGGGCGCATACCGCAGTGAGAACACGCCAATCATCAGCGGAGAGGTACCTAATATTCTTGACGTTCAGCTTCATGGTAGTTGCCTGGGTGGCCTATCGGCGTCGTGTGGTGGTGATTTTCGGGGTTGTATGCGGCAACAATAATTTTTGGCGGGAGGTTCTGAGCGGCGGGCGGCGCTCATCATCGGCGGACGGGCTTGGCCCTAGCGCGGCGGAAGTGGTACGCGAAGCAAGAGCTGCCTCATCGACATCGACCTATTACCACTCCCCACTCGACTTGCCTCTCGCTCTTCCGACCCATTTGAGCGCCGCATCTACATCCCCCAGCACCCCGAATCTCCTTCCACCGTCGCTATCGACGCCGCTTCGTCCCGACACTTACACACACTTCGCCGCTTGCCCTAGCTACACATCATCAACATGGCGAAGGACGACGAGAAGAAGCCCACGGCCGCCGACAAGGGCAAGGGCAAGGCGCCCGTGAGCAATGACGCGGACAAGAGCAAGGATGCAAAGCCAGATCTTGAGGACAAGAAGGGCGGTGTTGCGACAACTGGCGGTATGTCTGGTCCCCGGCACAGCGCCGATGGCTATCGTCATGGACTTGCACTGATGACAAACCACAGAGGAGCTCAGCGAGGAAGACCAACAGCTGAAGAGCGACCTTGACATGCTGGCTGAGCGGATACTGGTAAGCTGCTGCGACGATGGCTGGTCCCCGCAACATGCGCTGACCTCATGTGTTTACTAGGGTTCCGACACCAGCCTCTACAAGCCCGCCCTCGAACAGATCAAGGAATTCATCAAGACATCGACGAGCTCCATGACGGCCGTGCCCAAGCCGCTCAAGTTCCTCCGACCACACTACGAGAACCTTGAGAAGGCCTACGCATCATGGCCGGCAGGCGAGAACAAGGTGCGCAGACACGACAACACTCTATACATGCCACCATGCTAACAAACACAGCGCTCGCTCGCCGACATGATGTCTGTTCTGGGAATGACGTATTCGGATGAGGACCGCCTAGACTGCCTCAAATACCGCCTCGAGGCCCCCTCCACAGATCTCGGCTCATGGGGCCATGAGTACATGCGCCACCTTGCGCTTGAGATCGGCACAGAATACCAGAACCGCCTGAACGACGAGAAATCCACCGACGATGTCACCGACCTCGCCTCGAACCTCGTCCCCTTCTTCCTCAAGCACAACGCAGAGGCTGATGCCGTCGATATCCTGTCTGAGCTGGAGATGATTGATCAGATTGAGCAGTACATTGACGAGAACACATACTCGAGGGTGGCTCTATACATGGTCAGGTAGGATATGCCCGCATTTTGCCTGCAGCACCGACACTAACACCAGCAGCAACGTGCCCCTACTCACCTACCCAGACAACGACAAGTTCCTCCGTACCACGTACCGAATCTACGCCAAATACAAGCAGTACACACAGGCAATCGTTATCGCGATACGATTACACGAGACCGATCTCATCATTGAAGCTTTCAACGCCACCAAGGACAAGTCGATCCGGAGACAAATGGCCTACTTATGTGGCCGACAACGGATATGGCTCGACGTCTCCGAGGACGACGATGCCGAGCTCCAGGAGTGCATCAACAACACGCGACTACCCGACCACTTCAAGGCGCTGGGCAAGGAGCTTAACATTCTCGACCCCAAGACCCCTGACGACATCTACAAGACACATCTGGAGAGCAGCAGGACGGCCGGCCTTACCAATACCGATTCCGCCAGACACAACCTTGCTTCCGCCTTCGTCAACGCCTTTGTCAATGCCGGTTACGCTAATGATAAGCTCATGCTTAACGAGAACACAAAGCAGAGCTGGGTGTGGAAGACCAAGGAGGAGGGCATGTTGTCAACAACAGCGTCTCTGGGTATGCTCATGCTCTGGGACGTAGAAGAGGGTCTCGATAAGGTCGACCCCTTCACACACGTCGAAGATGACATGGTCAAGGCTGGCGCTATGCTTGCTACCGGTATCTTCAATTCGGGCGTGCGCATGGACTCAGACCCTGCCATGGCTCTCTTGGGTGATGAGGACAACATCAATTCCAAGAACAAGAACATCCGTTTGGCTTCTATCATGGGTCTCGGTCTTGCTTACGCGGGGTCTAATAAGGAAGACCTTCTGGACGTTCTGCTGCCGATTGTCAGCGACACCAGCCTCGACATGCAGCTCTCTGCCATGGCGGCGCTGTCGCTTGGTATGATCTTTGTAGGTTCGGCCAACGGAGATGTCACTGATGCCCTGATGAACACGCTCCTGGACGAGGACCGGACGAAGCAGCTCAAGGATAAGTGGACCCGATTCATGGCTCTTGGTCTTGCGCTACTCTTCTTCGGTCAGCAAGAAGAGGTCGATGTCATTCTGGAGACCTTGAAGGCGCTTGATCACCCCATGGCCAAGTCTGCCTCTGTACTCACCGAGGTATGCGCATGGGCAGGTACCGGTGCTGTCCTGAAGATTCAACAGTTGCTCCACATCTGCAACGAGCACATCGAGGATGAGAACGAGGAAAAGAAGGGCGATGAGCTACTTCAGTCTTACGCTGTCATCGGTCTATCATTAGTCGCCATGGGCGAGGACGTCGGCCAAGAGATGATCCTCCGCACTCTCGGCCACCTGATGCACTACGGCGAGGCTAACATCCGCAAGGCTGTGCCGCTCGCTCTAGGTCTCATCAGCCCTAGCAACCCCCAGATGAAGGTCTACGACACTCTTTCTCGTTACTCTCACGACAACGACAACGATGTCGCCATCAACGCCATCTTCGCCATGGGTCTTTGCGGTGCTGGTACCAACAACGCCCGTCTTGCACAACTTCTCCGGCAATTGGCTAGCTACTACCACCGTGATCCCAACGCTCTTTTCATGGTTCGCATAGCTCAAGGTCTGCTGCACGCAGGAAAGGGCACGCTGTCTTTCAACCCATTCCACACTGACCGTCAGGTCTTGTCCCGTGTGGCAGCGTCGGGTCTTCTCACCGTACTTGTTTCTCTCATCGACGCCAAGTCATTTGTGGCTGGAGACTCACACTACCTACTCTACTACCTCGCTACCGCCATATCGCCGCGCTTCCTCATCACACTCGATGAGGACCTCAAGCCGCTGACAGTCAACGTCCGTGTTGGTCAAGCAGTAGACATCGTTGGCCAAGCTGGTCGACCGAAGACCATTACTGGATGGCAAACACAGAGCACGCCGGTGCTACTGGCGCACGGCGAGCGAGCGGAGCTGGAAGACGAGAAGTATCTCAGCCTGACTAATGTGTTGGAGGGTGTGGTCATCTTGCGAAAGGTATGATATTTCAATGTAAAATGACTTTGAGCGTGCCGTACTAACATTACATGCAGAATCCAGAGTGGGAGGACTGAACGATTGCAGTAAAAAGGTGGAAAGAAAGAAGCGTCGTCAGCGACACCCCGCAGAGCATAGGGAGGCGGGCCTGCACCAAGATTTTGGCATTCTAATAGCATTACGGTCACTGCCTCGACCCTTGTCCTGTCAGAACAAGGAGTCCAAGGGGCACACCGTTGTATATATAGATGTGCAAGAGCAATGAACTGAAATGAAATCATTCATACAAAGTTTCGTTCCGAATCTCATAATACACTCCCATACTTACCTCTCTGACTTGATCGCATAGCCGCGAGTCTAAAAAGAAGATCAAAAATCTACAAACACCGTGCGGATCGAACACACGTCTTCCGCAATCAAGGTGCCTAGCCTGCTACAGACACAGCGCCCAGGGTAAGCGGTAGGAAATCCTCCGCAAAGCAGTACGGTCAAGTACTAGGAGGCCTGGCAAGATCTTGTGCGGACGTCTTACCACTGGACCAGGTACTCTGTCACAATCTTCCTTGATCGACTGGGCGATTAGATGGGGTGTAACACAGAGTCAGACTCGTTACGTTCTTTACTTTGAAGACGTACCAAGCTAGCCGTATTGAGAGATAAACATTGCACAAACAGCAAAGAAGCAGATGTGAACATGAAGTTGAGCCGGAAGAAGATCTATTATACGACGAACTATCGAAACTACGACAAATCCGACCATAGACCTAGCCACCACTGCTGAAACCTGCCCTTGCCATCGATGAGAAAGAGATACATTGAATAACCCACTAAGATCCTTTTGGTTCGCTGGCTTGCCCAGATGCTAACAGATACTTCTAAAATGTGAAAGAGGCCGCCCAAGTATATCGATCGAAAGGAAAACGCGAGACTGGAGTGTCGATGGGAAGGATATGTTCAGGGTGTTGGCGCCAAGAACAAAGTATTAGGGCCCAAAGACATGAAGGTCAGAGCGAGCGGCAGGAAAGAACGACAAGAGTATCGTGCTGTAGCGTGTTGATATAGTGCGGCCTTCGTAAAGTATATGATCGGTGCCAAAAGAAGTCTCCAAGAAGATGTGGCTGGAGGATGTTGAAGAAGCGATCATGAAGAATAGTGCGTGCACGACGAGTAGATCGAAGGTCGAAGTGGAAAGGGCGGTACACGCTTAGTCGTTGCGGCTGGGTGAAGTAGACTTGTCATCAGCTTTGACGGGAGTGGCGGGGTTGGTCTTGACGTCAAGGCCGTTCTCAGAAACGCCGTCCTCGCTCTTGATGGGTCCACCCTGCGGCATATAGTATGAGCGGGCAGGGCCGAGGGTGGATGGCACTGGCGGTGACCATGGCTGGCGCTGGCCGCGCATGAACATCTCGAACTCGTTGGCGTGGCCCGCAGGTATCGGGGAGACGGAGAGGTATCGGTCAGGCGTGCCTAGCGCCCTAGCCTGAGCAACACCGACCTCGTACTCCGCAGCACGGAAGACACGGCCAGCTGCGGTCTGCTGCTTGAGCATCTTCTGCTCGTGAGTATCGGAAAAGCGGATCTGGATGAGATGCTCTTCGCCGCCGGGCTTGGATACAGGGGTGTTGTTGAACTCCTTGATGACCTCGTCGCAGATGTCGCGGGACTCGAAGCTAGAGATGGTGAACAACGATCAAAATGGCAACACCAAGATGACTTACCGAGCGAAGCCGACACCCCGACCAGTACCAGAAGAGTCACGAAGGATCCTGCTCGAGCAGACCTTGTGAGGGGCGAAGATGGAGGCGAGTTCCTGTATGTTGTAAGTGACTTGTCATCAGGGTTGGGGCGAAGTCACATACATGCTCGTTCATGTTCTTTGGAATGTTGGATACGTAAAGATTGGTGTTGCACTCGTCGGCGAACTTCTTGAGCTTTGAGTAGAAGGATTCCTGGGAAGAGTCAGTACAGGCCATCGTGCGTCAGAGTGGCTGCAACGTACCCGAGCAAAGCTGACCTCATATCCGAGGTAGTGGAAGCCACGGATGCAGTCTTCAGCGTCTTCGAAGTTGTGGTACTTGATGAAGCCGAAACTGCGAAGCATAATTAGTAATTGAAACGTTGTGATGGGTAGTGAAGCGCTTACCCCTTGCACAGGTTGGTCTTCAAGTCGATGATGGACTTTGAGCTCTGGATGTCTCCAAAACGCTTGCCCCACAGGTGAAGCATCTCATCTGTGGTCTCGGGAAGCAGACCTCTAATGTAAACGTTGGTCTCGCCAGTCTTGTTCTCCAGGCTACGGTCGAGTGGCTTGTGCGGGGAGCTAGGAGCGGGAATAGCCCGGGGAATGGGGGGCTCCTGGTGCACTAACGCCAGTAGATTGGGAGGCAACGTGGGCATGGTCTGCTGCTTCGGGATGGGCGCCATGACCTGGTAGGGATGGGCCAACTGGGAAGGCGAAGGGGTAGCACTGCTGGAGTAGAGGGCGTTTGGCGAACGGTCCATGATGGCGGTATTGTTGCCGTAACGATGGTACATACCACCACTGCCGTAAGGCGTGCCTGGGTTGTCGTTCTCGTTGGAGGAGATGGAGTCCCGGCGTGGCGTCATGAGAGATGGCATCTCGGAAGAGGACATGCGAGCAGCCCATGCTGGTGGCATAGTGTTGTTGTCGATGACAGCTTGGCCATATTGGTAAGCTGCCTGCTGGACGTATGCACCGGTGTGGTTGTACATGTTAGGGGAAGCCGCCATGGCAGTCTGTTGCTTGGCACCAGGCATCATCTGGTACATAGATCCAAGGACCTGCTGGTTGGGAACCCAAAGTCCTTGACCGTTGGAGAGAGGGATGTTGCCGTAGTCGGAGGAGCCACCTGACAGAGCGGAGCTCGCAGACTTGGAGGTAGCGGACGAACCATACGAGGCGTGCATATTGAGAGCTGCCATATTGCCCGTCAGACCTTGCATACCATTATCACCGTGGGGGGACATGGGCAGACCTCGGGGGAGGTATTGGGCGGACCCATGACCTTGGCCGTGCTGGTTGTAGTTGTTGAGCATGTGTTGTCCCTTATAGCCCGCGTTGGGGGCCGCGTAGTTTTGCTGACGACCGTTGGTAGCCATTGCAGTGAGCTTCGAAGTGACGCTGATCGAAAGACGAGTGAAAAGATCGGCAAGGTATCCGGGACCGAAGCTTGAAGTCGCGAGCAAGAGTACGCAGACCGAAAGGTACGACCTGAGGAGGGTTGCGGCGAAGGGTCTCAACAACGGACGCGACGACAGACTGAGATGCAGAGAGGAACGTTGCTCTGCTCAGAAGATTAACTTTTGTCATTAGAGGAGGCTGGGGTACGGCCTAGCAAATTTGCTCGGTGATCGATGAGTGTGAGGAAAGCAGACCTCGCAAGCGAATGCGGGGGAGGAGCTCATTGGCGGTATCCGGGCGGGGAGTGGAGATAAAAAAGATGGGATGATGAAAGGGACTTACTGGGTCGTAGATATCAAACTTTCGCAATGTGCGGGACTGGTAGTGACTCCAAAGCTGCCGAGGCGTCAGTATCGGTGTGCTGCACAAGAGTGATGGACGGCGTCGGGACGGATGACTGACCTGGGAATAGCTACAAAGAATGTGGCCACTGATGCGTATTGGTGAGAAAAGTGAAGAAGAGTGAAGAAGAGAAGGGGAGGAATGGTGGAATGAGGCAAGCTGTTGTACCCGAAGATGGCGTCTGGGCGTAGCAGCTTGGGGAAAGAGCACTCGCGATGGGACGTCGGTGGAAACCCACAAGCGACGTGAGAAAGGAAGCCCCAATCTGACTGAGGGAAGTCGCGAAGAAGAACCATGACGGCGAACAGAGAGGCTCACCTTCCCAATGACTCCGCTTCGAGGAGGAACAGACGCACTACAACACAGCGCCACCCGAACTCTCGCACTTTGGATACCGTCGCTTCTTTATCTGGAAATTGCCTAGTAATATGATGAAAAAGCTGTTGAAATAGTAATGTCAGATGAGGCTTGCGGGCGAAGCTACGGGGCTTTGGGTTGTCCCCGTCGCCGTGATGGGAAGAGCACTGCACTTATACATCGATTGCAAGCAAGGACGCACATGCTGAATGGATGCACCGAGAGTACGGTATGGCGAACGCTGCAAGCATAACATCCTGCATCAAGTGGTGTACTCGTCGCGCCTCCTCAAGATGCAGCCATACCTTTCTCGGAGCAGTGTGTGTAGCATACAAATGACGAGGCGTTCGTGTGGAGTCTAGCTGCCACTTGCTGCAGCCAACTTTTGACCGTGACAACGGCCAATGCAGTTATATCGCCCTTGCAGCAAGGCTGAGCAGTATCTTGGAATGACGTTGGACGATAGACGTCATTGTCTGTTGCTATGTGAACATTCAAACCGGGGCAGTTGCGATGATTCTGGCGGGCATGCTCCTGTCATGGGGACTCGACCTGTCGTTTCCTCACCTCCACACTTCAACTGGGTCCACGCAACGGCCCAACTCGAGACATGCGCAGGTCTTGATTGAATACTGTCTGGTCTGCTTTGCGATTAGTAGGCTACACAGACAGGGGGGATACTCTTACAGCGCTTTGCAGCCAGGCTTCCACCATGCCATAAAGGACCTTTCGTAACCTGACGGAGCGGCGCGCTGTTGCACACCTGTAACCTGCGCGACGAGCCGGCGCAGTGCAGCCATTGCCGGTTGTAACTCTGTAGATCACGGTTTTGAGATGGATGCGCGATGCTCGAATACCGTTGGGAGTGCGCCTTCATGCGAGACGTCTTTGGTATTCCAACTGGGGGGACTGCATCTTCTTTGGCGAGATCACCGGGGTAAACGATATTTGACCATCTGCAGCGGTAATGCAGACGCAAGGGGCAAGTCCGAAGCCTGTGGCCTGACCCACCTTTCCCAGTAATATGAGCAACGTCACTCTCATACAAGCAAAAGCGCATCGGGAGCAAATCGTGTGCAAGGCGTCCCTCTGAAGATACTCAAATTCAAAAGTGAGGTACACATAGAAACTGAGCCAGCCGGTGATTCCAAGTCTAGTGAGAGAGACAATTCCAGCCAGCATCACGTTTGGACTCCACTCCTCAAGTGCTAGGCACAGGACCAAATAGCGTGTGGGTGATACGAACTTCACGAATGGAGGTTTGCCCGCTTCCTCGCGTGGTGCGTAGGCGCAAGCGCACTGATTACCGTGTCGAATTTGTTGCGAAGCAGCTATCCGATCGGTTGTCCGGCTCTTGAAGCGGCTGTTGTTGGTCTCGTGGCAGTGCCGACACGGTGAGAGAACATCCGCCAGTGCCTAGAATTACCAGGTGGATGATGCGTCCAGGGTCCATGTTCGGTGGCGCCCTGCTATGCAATGGCTGGCCGATCCCGCTCAGCATGCCTGCCTGTAAGGTCATTTCAGGAGTCGTGCATGCCGTACGCCGGGCAAATATGCACCTCTCTCCCCCCAGGGCTGCACCTCTCACCAAATTCTGTCATTCTGTACTGAGCAGCCTGAGAGATGCTTCGTTGCGATTCTTCCAACGTTACCCAGCTCAACCTCGGACCTGGATTCCGGATTCTCTCGCTACCGTCATCGCAGAGAGGGAGAAACGGGGCGGATCGGCTTTCGTTACAAGCATCCGCGGGGTGACACAAAGAGCAGATGAGGAAGAACGCAGCTTCGTATAAGACTCCCCAGGATCTGCTGCATCTCGCGACACTGCGTTTTCCTCAAGGGTTCGAGCGGATGCCCCGCATGCTGAGGTTGTAGCGGTGAGTGACTGGCTGTGGTCATCCTGCCATGAAGGTTTTCAGCATGCGACGCGCGACCAGGTAAATCCAGAAGATGATACTTAGCCGGAACTGCTGTGCAAACCTTTATCGTACGCATGACGGCAGTGTCTATTATAACGAGACGTGCCTGCACCTCTGAGCAATGAAGGCTTGCCACGCAATGATCCGAGTAGGCGTCCTAGACATTGGGGGCCGCAACTCGAGCTTGTGATGGAGAAGACCCTTCGTTGATTATCGCGGCGCAGTTGATGGGCGGGAACGGCAGATGACAAAACTATTTTGAAGCAGTGTGTATGCATGCGAGGCGTTGATGCTTATAGACGAGGTTTATGGGAGCCATCCCCGCGGCAGGCACCGCGCGCGCACGTGCATCGACCAATCATGGCCGGACCCTGCCCGTGTGAACTAGCGCACGTTTTGCCTACCACAGCAGCGCACTACAGCATTAGGCTGCGGTCGCTCAACATCTTTCTGATACATGTCACAATCAGCTGAGTGAGAGGTGAATCAGAAGAGTTTGATATTTATGATTGATCAAATGAGCTGGTCCACACTGCAGACTATGTAAAATGGTGGTAGTCACATAACTGTACATGTCCATCCAGGCTTCAGATTCGGAGCCAATATACTCCAATGCGAAATGTTTTCGTCAGATCAAACGCCATCGCTCACACCATTCTACCATGAAAATGCATGCTCAAAAAGCTCTTTCTAAAACAATCTCTCCAATCCTTGACGCATTATGACCAGACGTCTTCTTGATACTGATTCGACGCCCTCATTGCCTTGACAATCTCCTCACCCTTTGTCTCCGGCACGTTCCTGTACTTGGAGATGATTTTGCCGAGAAGCGTGTTTACCTCGCGGGCCATATGCGCGGCGTCACCGCAGACGTAGAAGTAGGCCTTCTGCTCGAGCAGCTTATTGACTTCTTCGCCGGCCTCTTCAAGTTTGTTCTGTACATAGACCTTCTTGGGACCGTCTCGCGAGAAAGCAGTGTGCATCTCGAACTTGTCGCCCATGTCTGCTTGGTATTGCTGCAGATTGTGTTAGCCCGGAATGAGTGGTTGACATGGCATCATGAGACTTACCTTCCATTCATCGGCATACATGAAGTCCTCTGATTGCTTTCGGCACCCGAAGAACAGAATGGTCTTTCCGACATTCTGACCAGCCTTTGCCTGTGCAGCTCTTTCTTGAACGAAACCACGGAAGGGTGCGACACCAGTACCGGGTCCGACCATGATGATAGGCTTGGAAGGATCTGAGGGGAGCTTGAAGTTGGAGTGGCGGACGTGAACCGGGACGTGAATACCGTCATACTTGTTGCGAGGGCCGGTGATGGTGTAGTTCAGGCCGTGAGGGTCCGGGTTGGGGTCGCCGTGTTGCTTCTGCTTCAAGGCCAAGAGGTAGTTGGTGGTGACGCCCTTCAAAGCGTATGGTGCGCCGGGCTTCTCGATGGACTCAACAATAGCAGTGATGGAGATCTTGTCTTTCTGGACTAGAGACGACGAGGAGATGGAGTAGTAACGAGGTTGGATCTTGACCATGGTTTCGAACAGGAATGAGAATGGGATCTTGTCCCATGTGGCGCCCTTTCCGGTGATCTCGAGCAGCTGGCCCAGGTTGAGGTTGCGGTCGGTAACCTGCTCCCTGAAGTAGTCCTTGTCGCTACCGAGTTTCACGATCTCAGCCTTGATCTCGTCGTTTGGCGCAAACTGTGCAATGACAGAGACAAGTTGACGCGACACGGCGGCGTTGATCTCAATGTGGAAGCGGACGGCGGCATCGTACGTAGTTGGCGACGGGAATGGAACTTTGGCGGTGGGGTCGAGACCTCTGACTGAAATAACCGTGTGGCGCTTGTCTTCCTTGCCGAGAACCTTGAACAGCCTATCGACTTCCCTGCCGGCGTTGTTGGGCCAGATGGCGATGTGATCACCGGTGGTGTATGACAGATTGGATCCAGCGATGCTGATTTCCATGTGTAGGCAGTTTCGGTTGTCGGAGTTGAAGAGTTCGGCAGATTCGACGATGGGGGCGATAAAGGGGTTGTTGGCGTTGAAAGGACCCTTTTGGTTGCCCTCAAGGTGGTTCTTGTTGGGCTCGCCGAGGTAAACGGTGTCATCTTCGGGAGATAGCTCTGGCTTCTCATTGACTTCGAAAACGGGCTCGTACATGGCTTCGCGCTCCTCCAGACCCATCTTCTCGGCAACAGCAGTCCACATGGGCTCCTTCCAGGCGAGGAAATCCTCTTCCATGGTGCCAGCGCCATCGTCGCCCTCACCAGCAGCACCCAGTCTGGTGGCACCGAGCCTCGT